AGTACATCCAGCTCTATTTCACGTATGTGACGGACCAGTACATCAAGCTCCAGTTCACGTGTGACGGACCAGTATATCCAGCTCCAGTTCATGTGTGACGGACCAATACATCAAGCTCCAGTTCATGTGTGACGGACCAGTACATCCAGCTCCAGTTCACGTGTGTGACGGACCAGTACATCAAGCTCCAGTTCACGTGTGTGTCGGACTAGTACATCCAGCTCCAGTTCACGTGTGTGACGGACCAGTACATCCAGCTCCAGTTCACGTGTGTGACGGACCAGTACATCCAGCTCCAGTTCACACATCTGACGGACCGGTAAGTAGGAACTGTTGAGGCACGGAACACCCTGTGCGGAAGCAACACGGTTATGTATGCGTCATTTCGACTCTGCCCATTACGTACACAGACACACACCGCGTTTGTTACGTCATTAGGACTCCGACGCGTTATTTTTTCATACAATTTGAAAATTGGAGTAACGATATAATGGTTACCATCATTTGTGAGTTACGTATACAAATGAAGTGCAGTTCGCTCGGAGTGGGGAGTGGAATCTAATTACCAACTTCGCCGTAATGCGCGTTTGTGGGCACAGCTAGTCCCCAACATATATAAAGTGATATTTTACGAATGTATAGCATAACGATAATTTATGGGGGAGGGGGTAACTTTGTGGAACTGTACGGAGGGGTGCGGCGGCCGTGTTTACTCATTTATTATACCTCACATACCTCCCTCATGCATGGAAGCGCGCCCGTCCCGACTTTGCTTTGCTGATAGAAGGCAGGCAGAGGCCGGCCGGGGTTCGTTTCCTGATAAGAGCATCACCACCCATACGGCCGCCTCCACACATCTTTGTAAAACAGTGCTTAATCACAGGGATATATATATATATATATATAAATGTACTTTATCTCAAGTGCTTGTTTGAGGCATTTTTAAAAAAAAACACTGACATACTGCAAACAGGTTCCTCCATTCCTACTGGGCTGTCTGCTAAGCAACGCAGTTTTTCGTCTCACTGTCTTAGCTTGGAGAGCATTGCGCTGCGCCAGATATTTTTCTGTCTATTTGATGTTTAATGAAGTAGCATGCTGTATCCACCTCACATCCTCACAGCCCATTTCCGTAAGATCCACGTTAACAATTAACTAAATTTCTGGTGCCACAACCCGACTGTTCAACACAGCTGATACCAAAGCCCGCCACTGGACACGATCCTGAGCCAATCAGGAATTTCCTAGTAATACAGCATCCTGAAATGTTCACTTACGCTGTTTTAACTCGTTAGCTCCACATCGCGCACAACCATCATGTCGACAAACAACGTGTGCAGTTGATGCATGACAGCTCGCGTGAAGGATAATTAATTTGACGCCACAACGAGCGCCTCTTAACGTTTTGCTCGTCACCGCGTCCCAAAACTTAAAACCAAACTCATTATTCAACGCTGTTAAGTAAAAGCTCTTCGAAAACCCATTTGGTTAATTTGTACCACGCCGTGCTGATGTACCGTCAGCGCAGAAACTCAGTACCACGGCAATACTATGTTCTGCAGCTCCAGAAGGTTTGCTAGAAAATGGTGATGTCTCTGTAATTATTTCCCTCCAAGACAATTTGCATGAAGTGGACGCATAATAGAGAGATCATGTCGGCTCATCAGTGTGTTTCATTTTTCTTCATAACTTGTACTCTTCTCCAAGTATAATTAGAATGGTCAAGTCAAGGAGGATGAGGTGGGCAGGGCATGTACCACGAATGGGGGAGACGAGGAATGCGTATAGTATATTGGTGGGAAAGCCAGAAGGAAAGAGACCACTGGGAAAACCAAGGCGTAGGTGGGTGGACAATATTAAAATAGATCTTAGAGACATAGGATGGGATTGATCTGGCTCAGGATATGGACCAGTGGAGGGCTCTTGTGAACACGTTAATGAACCTTCGGGTTCCATAAAATTCTGGGAAATTCTTGAGTAGCTGCAGAATTGGCGGCTCCTCCAGAAGGGTTCGGCTCCATGAGTAAGTAAGTAAGTAAGTAAGGACCTAAAAATATCTGACATTGGTGGTCAAAATTAAAAAGTTGCGTGCAGATTTCAATTTTATCCGTATTTTACATGAAGATGAGGTCAGATTTATATTAGTTTTCCTTGGGAAGGGCTCACCAAATTCAATACATGTCAGCACAGGGCAAATCTCTGCAGATTCGTGGAACGACACTCCAAATTCGCGCTGTGGTTCAGAAAGCTTGTATGTTCCAGAGTTACATTGTACAGTTCTACACACAGATTTCAGAGTGGAGCCGTCAATGGAAAATTGTTAGAAGTAACCATGGAATGCGCACCTGATTTCCTGGGGAGACGAGTGTCGCACAACGAAACTGGGCAGGTTTGCCGCATATAGATTACAGCTCTTATTTGGAACATTTGGCCCTTGAAAGAGCACTGGGCCAATGGTCCAGTGATGAAGTCTAGCGGGATCGTGTCCCCCCGAACTTCCTGCAGTATCACCTGTCGTTGTTTTCCTCAGTCTCTGCAGATTTGTGGATAGTACATTGAGATAGGCAACTGGCGTTTTATTATCAATACACTATCATTCCACTCGATGCTGTATAATATATGCAGTTGAAGAAATGTCGTTAAACGAACTACGAAATTTTTTAACCTCGCTGCGGTTTGTGAATGCTTGCTGGCTGACTGGTACCTCTCAATATGATGCCGCAAGGAGGTTAAACCTTAAGAGCTCGTTAAAAGGTGGGATCACTTTTTAACTCTTCCCCTATATCCTGGGTTCGAGTACAGTTTATTTCACTTTTTGTATTTGTGTATACTTTCATAAAAGTTGCATCCAGAAGTTTAGCGCATCATGCAGTATTGTATATATGAAATTCACTCTATGAGCTTAACCTCGGCTGTTACATCGATGTGCAAGTATTTCTGTATGGGTTTGTTCTTTTAATGCGATTTGAATTCTCGTTCAGGCTCTGTCGCCTAAGTACATTAGTAAACTCCAGTTTCTTAATTTGAGTATTATACTTCTTTTCACGTTTTAGCTACAGTAGGTAGTGATACTGACCAGGAAACGAAATGTGTCCCGGGCGAAGAACTGGTATCCTACTTTTGTTTGTTGTATAAAATCTCAGGTTGGTTTTGGTAGAGGCTGATTTTAATTTAATAGAGAAACTTTCTGGGATTACCCCTGCAATACAGTTCTATAATCCTATTGTGGGAATGTAGAGCGCTTTGTATAACTGGACCATATCTGGACGTTACTTCCATGAGCCTCTTAGCAAGTGGCATTCTCGCTGTGTAAACAGCCGTTCCATTGGCTTATCGCGCCGCACCACAGCCTCCCACGCGTTACTCGACCAATCATAGCCCTCGTTGTGTCATCGATCCTGCTCGAGGGCTCCTCCCTCGGGACTTCCCCTCGTTATAGCACAAAATTAATCAAAAACTGGCCCAGAAATCACGTGTGCGGAAATGTGGAAAAAATAAAAACAATCGAGAGTGGAGATGTTAACGAGGAAAGAAACTAATCCCGAAATCACATAAGCGCAGCGAGTTTATACGGAGCGGATCAGAGCGAAGCAGACACCGTGACACAAGTTTGTTTCTTGCCCATCGCCGGACTTTGCAGATGCAGTTGAATCGCCCTCCCCTAGCACTCGGACGCTTTTCAAACGGACGACAGACCTTTACACGGCAACGTTTTGAAGCGTGAAGTTCGTCTAACTACTATACACAAGTCCACCTCCTATCTGTCAGAAAACTCGCTACGCCTCCTCTGATAGATAAATCGCTAAATGATGGTTTTGTGAAAATCATGCGAGAAACGCATGTAACCTGTTGTCAGCAGTGCTTTAAGTGGTTCAAAGGCTGGTATAACTGTGGCGCTCTAGATTTGTACCCGAATGGTGCTCAGTGTAAATCTGTGCTGGGACGCTGGCCATCATGACTGAGGGTTTTAGTGGTTTTCCTCAGTCCCTGCAGGCAAATTCTGGGATAGTATCGCGATTATGTCACAATCGTTTTCTACCAAATCGTTCCAAATTTATCTACCATTCGCATCTGTATAGTTTGGATACCGATAGTGTCGTTAACTGTCTGTGGTTGTACAGCCCTTTTTTGCACCTTAGCCGCTTTTTCAATTTCTTGATCTTTAACATAGTCGGTAGGACTCCTTGGACGGGGTATCAGCCTATCGCAAGGCTGCTACTCGCGCCCAGAACAGCACAAACACAGAATAAACGCACACTGACATCCATGCCTCAAGTGGGATCCGAAACCACGAGCGACCACGGCCAGTGTGACCGGTGGCGTCTTTAACTAGCTCTCCAAAGTATAAAATAGAGGTTTAACGTGTGTTTCGGACAATTTGTGTGAACATAACTGATGCCGTTGCAGATCTTACAGAAATGTGGCATTACGCACGTGAACTGTGTTTGGTTTCCGGGTCATGTCACTGAAAACCATTGTTAGTTTCGGAAACTAATGGTTTTAACTTATCATCTTAAACTAAGTTCCCTGGACTCTTTGACACAAAATGCGATATGGGTCTACAGAATGTTGAAATGGGCATTTTACTATGTTTATCCACGTGTTCGCTTCCCAAGTCTGTTGGGTCACAACACTCCTGAAGCTTCCTATACACTTTAAACAGGGAAGTTGCTTTCCATGCGCTGGGAATCACCAGCTTAGAGAACACGATTTGTGCCCAGTACAGTGTTCCCGTGAGTGAAACAAAAGCTACCGAACGTGCTGTGCTGATGCCTCGCCCCGCAATCTCCAAGATGCGCCTGGTAACGTGACCAGAGCATGTACTGCCCATGTTCAGAATGCGTGGGGCCTCAGTACCTTGCTGCAGAGGCCCAGAGGCTAATGTTGTGGCATGTTTGGCTACGGAAGGACGAGTTCTGTCGCGGGAACACTTCACGCTGCCAGCGTCATGGTCCGGCCGTCCAGTGTGAGGAGCAGGGAACAGTAACAACAGCAGCCAGTTGAGTGATCGATTTATTGGCCGTGCCTATGTGTAACATGACAGACAAGAGTAACAACACTTTACAACAACTGGTGACATGCAGGTCGTCTAAATCTAAGGAGACATGCAACTAGCTGCCAACAGGCTAGAGACACTCATGTTGGCAGGCACATACCGACTTTATGCTACATGTTTTTGGGCAAATGCTTCTACGTCTGCTGCGCGTCCCTGGAGGGCGAGGTGCCGCCGGCCCCTGGGGACGTGAGGGCTACAGCGGCCGCAGCGGCAGCAGCGTCGGTTTTCCTCGCGAGAGCCTGTAGTGTGGAGAGAGGCGGTAGGTTGAGGCCCAGTCCCACCGGGAAGTGCTGAAAGCTGGCCACGTGTTGCAAACTCTGCAGAAGTGCCGCCGAGTGCTCCTGGGCCTTCCTGCGTAGCTCAGCCACACTGGAGGACCGCTGGTCCGCATTGGACTGCGAAGTGGACTGGTCCAGCAGGGAACCGCCCAGCGTGGTCATGGGCTTGATGGGGCAGCACGAGCACAGCCCAGGAAACGCTGAGGACAAGAAGGAGCCTTACCGTCTCTTCGGAGTATCTCGCGACACATCTCGGCAGCCTCTCGGACGTCGGTCGTCTTGAGAGGCTGCCAGACATTCTAATAGTAGGCCTGAACCTGTATCAAAGCGAGCGAGTATAGGCCCTCGGTTCGATTCGAGAGGTGTCCGTGTTCAGATCTCTGTGGAGCATATAGACACCCTGTTAAAGTAGAGTCCTGGGTTCGACGTCAATCTTGGAAACGCAAGACAAAGTACATCAGGTTTCTCTGCGGTTGTGACACGCGCCTATTGCTACTGAGCCTGAGGACACATTGCGTGCAGGAGCGCCATACGTACAGTCAGTGTTTGTGGTCGTCGCTAATTCCCGTAGAGTTAACTTTAATGTGCGGCCATAGCTGGTTTATTTTTACGAGGGGTGAGAACGACTCATTTCGTACGACAAAGTTTTGTTACGCGGAGGAGGGAGGCTCTTGGCGTGATGAAACGGTTAAATTTGTTATTCCCCTGTAACCAATTTGTAAGCGCGCGGCTTAGTATTATTAGTTTTAAGACGGATTTACGGAAACACCTGCGCCTTCTCCTGCAAGATGCAGTACACCAGCTCTTTCGATCACGAAATCAGGCAAGAAAGTTAGTGTCTCGTAAGGCCGTATCATCGCTCAGGCTGTCAGTCACCGGCGTCACCGGCTTCTTACCACGGAGGTCTGGATTCGGTCCCAGGCAGAAGCTGGACACAGGTTTCTTTCCTAGCACTTGGGTTGTCCCCCTGCCAGTTACCATCCCGCAATGTGCCCCACACTCATCTGTTATGAGAAGTTAGTACAATATTCCCCCATCTGGTGACATGAACAAGTGGAAGATAACACCGTCTCGTACTATACGTCCAGTACAGCACGGCGTGTAATGTAACATATGCCACTCTTATCCTGATACACAACTGTAGAGAGGTCCTCGTTAGGATGCGAGACAGTCGTCCGTGTGTTCTACATTTAAAGCAACGCGACGGTTCTTGCTACCAACATCCTTATCTGTGTGGTGGATTTTGATTTGGGTTACAGCACCATGTGGTGTGGCACGTGGGTACCGACGTTTCTGGGGAATCGCCTAATGGGCTACATTGTGTGGGTAGCTTATGGTTTAGGTTATGACAATCTCAAGCGATATATTCAGCGTCGAATGGTAGGATGATCCGTGAATAATGAATTGAAAGCATTTGAAAGGAGACGGCCGTGTCGTAATCGAGGAATTACCCAGCATTTTCCTGCAGGATCTGAATAAAACCACGAAAAATCTCACTCGGGATAATCGGTGTCTCGGCCGAGATTCGAAGCGAACACGTCCGAAATACAAACATAGAGCCTTACCGCTACGAAAATCTATTCGGTGACTTCAGTGCCTCGTAATCCAGAACACCGTGATGCCAGTCTATAATCTGCGTGTAGGCCAGCAGATGGACATATTACAGGTCTCTGGTTTACGGTATGTGTAGAGTGGTTGGATCGATTCATGACGCATCTAGGCATGTATCTGCTTTCCGGCGCGACTTAGCTTAGAGTCACGTCTTCCTCAGGTGCCGAACGATAAGCTGCCAGGACATGTCCGTTAACTTCGTCATGTGTGTGTGTATGTGTGTGTGCGTGTGTGTGTGTGTGTAACAACTCGAGAAACTCTAATACAGTTCCACGAAATTTGATATTTATATATTTTATATTTATTTTATATTTTTATAAAATCAGCAAATTCCAATTCAAGTTGAAATCGGATAGCAATAGCGGACGGTATGCTGAAGGCGCACAGGCAAGTCTTCATGCATTTCGCATGTCAATCGCTAAGTATTTATCGAAGCGAAAAATATATGGAGCACAAGTTGTAGAGAAGAAATGGAACAACTACTTTGTGACCTGTGCACTGTTTCCGCAAGTCTTGCCCTTGTTTGCGAGATATGCAGTAAACCCTCGCTAATCCGGATACAGTTAATCTGGATCGAAATATGAAAAATGCTGATGAAGAAAGCAGTCTTCTGGGATGTGGCTCCGTGTAGATGTGGTGTTAACCGACGTTTCGGAGGAATATATCGCCTTCATCTTCAGGGTAGAAGGAAAAATAAGAAAATCCGTAAGCGAAGAGACGGTGAGAACCGGTACAAGCAGACTGGTGTTGGAAATAAACGGACACCAGTCTGCTTATACCGGTTCTCACGGTCTCTTCGCTTGCGGATTTTCTTATTTTTCCTTCTACCCTGAAGATGGAGGCGATATGTTCCTCCGAAACGTCGGTTAACACCACATCTACACGGTGCCACATCCCAGAACACTGCTTTCTTCATAGTCACCGCCGTGAAAACCTCAAATCTTACATGAAAAATGCTATTCACAGTTGAGTACACACTTTGAAAGACACGTGACAATTAGGAAGGCAGATGAGACACTTGTCTGTTCAGACATAACTTGACAGTTTCTTCAAACCTGCATTATTACGTTCAAAATCAAGTACAATTTCTGAGTCTTCTATCGATTAATAAATGTATTGTTTTTTTATAGTTTTTACATAAATGCTCTACAGTGATATTTTTATTCATTTTTATTTCATTACTTATGACATTGAACTTTCCATTTATTTCTGTTCTTCTAGAGTAAATTTTTGTTTCATAATCTGGGTGACCTCTTCCCCCCCCCCAAGTTAATCCGGATTAGCGACGGTTTACTGTATTTCCTAACTAGTTATTTTAACCATTAAAACATGTTACAATGACTGAACTGTTCAGGATTAACTTGGGTATAAGCATTGTGTATAGGCTTGTTAGTGCGTCAGCAGAAACGTGGCCATTCTGTGTCTGTGCTCACCTTTAAGTCCGGGGAACAGCGGTGGTGTGAACTGTGACGTCAGATGCGGCGGGAAGAAAATGGGTGGTGTGCCGCGAGGAGCGCCACTTGCTTCCAGTACCGGTCTAAATCCGCCACTGAAACAAGAGAAGACAGATGTTTTCGGAACTAGCTGTACGCGAAACAGGATCAACGTCACTTCTTGTGTTTTCTTATATTTTATACTCGTTGACTCAACAGAATTTGACATCCGCATATCAAATTTGTCAGTGAGCGAAGTGTAGCAAAGAAGAGATGGGGGAAAGCCCTTAAAATGGTTTACATAATTCTGTGAACGGGGCTTCTCACATTTTGCGTCAAAGCTTGGTGTTATGCTGATTGGTTATCAAGCGCCCCGGTTCGAAACCCGACTGAGAGGATCCTCGAGTTTGTTCCGGCCGAAAGAAATAGAGCCCCTTCTTTCTAAATATTAAAACCCCTTTATCCGATGCGTCTTAAATTTATAATGATTTTTCATCTTCGTTTGTTTTAAAAACAGAAGAAGTTTGTTGTGCTAATCAGCATAATGTGAACAAATTGCGGGCAGCAGCGCTAAGTAACAGCCTTAAAAGGACGGGCGGACCCCCGCATTAATTTGCTAAGAGGATCCCACTACATCTGCTTTGTAAGAACACGACAGAAAAATGAAAGACGTTGTCCTTGCGTATAGTCTGTTCCGCTGTGGCTTGCTCGGGTTAGTGCTTCACTCCGTGTGTAACTGTGAATGCCAGGAGCCAAAGCAATGGTTTGATGAGTGGGCGAATGATGCTTCAGTGAACGAGTATGTGGGTATGTTGGGCCGCGCCATAGCTCAAACGGTTAGTCGATGGCTTCCCACCGCGGCGGCCTGGGTTCGATCCCGGGTCTGGTCAAGTTGGATTTCTGGTGGATAAAGTGGCGCTGCGGCAGGTTTTCTCCGAGTACTTCGGTTTCCCCTGCCAATCTTCATTGCACCAATTGCTCCACAGTCACCCTCACCTATCATCTGGGGCTGGTACAATAGGCCAGAAGTGGCCGCAGTACAGGGGACTTAGTCCCACCCCACTAGCAATAAAAAAAATGTGGGTATGTCAATGATGGGTCGAGTGGGCGAAAGATGATTGAGTGAGCAAGTGTATGGGGAGATCAGTGATTGGGTGTGTGGGCGAGTGGACGAAAGGTGGTTCAGTGAACATGTTTGTGGGAAGTCAGCGACTAACCGCTTGAGCTATGGCGCGGCCCATGTGTGTGGGTAGATCAGTGGTTGGGCGGGTGGGCGAATGATGGTTCAGTGAGCAAGTAAGTGAGTAAATCGGTGGTTGGATGAGTGGGCGAATGATGGTTCATTGAGCAAGTATGTGAGTAAATCGGTGGTTGGGCGAATGATGGTTCAGTGAGCAAGTGTGTGAGTAGATCGTAGATCGGTGGTTGGGTGAGTGGGCGAATGATGGTTCAGTGAGCAAGTATGTGAGTAAATCGGTGGTTGGGCGAATGGGTTGTCAACAGCATAATGCTACGCTAACAAAATAAATCAGTAAGCATAATACCACTTTCACTAGCAGCGACTGTACCGAGCGCGCTCTGAAATATTAATTTGCCTGTTTCTTTAATATTTTTCTAAACATTTTGAATCGAAACATCTCGCCTCTTGAATCTTTAATCCGAGTCGCGTGTCACAAATGGAAATGTTTTTTCAGTATGAAGGACTTGTCACTGGGTGTCACACAGGTGTGGCCAGATTCACATGTATCATGCTTATTTTAATGTACTTGCCTAGACTGCGTGGAGGATTACCTCCACGCACACATAAGTATTCCTGTCCTATGGGGAAATGTTACCGGCATAGCTCATGCGGTATAGTGACTAGGGTATGGGCTGAATGACTGAGGGCCCGGAATTAGGTTCTCGACAGGAGCAATGTTTTTTCTCTTCACAGCATCCAGACTGGCTCTGGTGCGCACCGATTCTCTTATCGAATGGGTACTGGAAGCTGTTTCACCAGGGATAAAGCGGCCAGGGCGTGAAGCTAATCGGTCACTTATGTCTACTGTCGAAATTAAGAATGCATGGAGCTGTGCCTCTGCTCCGCATATATTTTCATTGCTTGGTGCTTAGGCACAGAGACAACGTTTATCTCATTATGAACAAAACGTCACGGTATAGGGGGGAACATTTCTCCATAGTACTCGGGGAGTCTGGGTTCAAATCTCGCGCCAGGGACTGACTATTCTGTATCTGAGATCTACCATGGTTTCACTTGCCCCCCCCTCCAAGACCACTTCCTTAAACACGGTTTCCTATTTCTTTCCCACTAATCATTCCACGATTTAACGCTCTATAGTCCGAACTGCTGGCAGCTTCGCTAAATAAGTCATGAAGAAACAGATATAAGAAACAGATAAGCCGGTTACCATAGCAACGACTTGTCGACCGTCAACATATTGCGTGCAAGGAAGTTATGTAGGAGGTCAGTATCGAGCGAGCAGTCTTTTGTTTCAGTGTATCGTGTCTATTCATTGAGTACTGATGTGTGAATATGTGAATTACAAACATGAGTTTCGCCGGTCCCTATCTACTGTTCGAAGCATTTAATATCTTGTTTTCCGAAATAAGCAACTGCGGGCTGGGAGTCCACGAGAAACACATTTCAAGACAAGTAGCACGTGCTCCTACATGCTACCAGTAGGCATAACACTGGAGTAGGAGAAGTTGCCGCCCGTACTTGGCTGTTAATGTTCTTCATTTAATCGCATAAGGAACTTGAATTATCTCATTTCGTGACAAGACCGACCAAAGAGAGAGCAATAAAATTGCATAAGAAGGGCTTCTAGCGTGCTGGAGGAGACTCATGAGGATCTGAGGTTTGGCGCCCCTGCAGATAGTCAAATCTGCCTATTTCTCTTGGAAAGGACCATGTGACACGATAACGGGTGATGCAAGGATAATATTAAAGTGATTCTGAAGGGGTTGTAAGCTGTGAATTTGATTCAGCTGGCCCAGGTTGGCGCCAGAAGCGCTGTTGAATCTTCTGTGAGTTGACACATTCTCGGCTATTAATGTCAAACAAAAATAAAGCTATCCCTGTACCAGGCCGTGAAGGCCCATAGGGTTGTGAGACGCTGAGGGTCCCACATTATCTAGACAATCGGCTCACAGATGGCGGTAATTTTAGCAGCCTTAAAATGTAAAAATGGTAATAAACGGCGAATAGAAAGGGGCAGCGGTTAATAACCCGGCACTCACCTGAAGAGACCGATGAAAATCGCAGTCTCAGCTGAGACTCGAACCGGATTCCTACCAAATAAGAATTCCAAGCGTCGCCGCTACTCGTGAAAGGTCTATGACCAGGGAGGTAGTTCGGTAGTGAAACGTGAAAGAGCGCCTTTTTCATACTGTACAGCATAACATTCCGTACGCTTCGATCGGGCCGTTAGCTTACCTGATTCATAGGCAGGCGCTTATGAACCGGTTATAAGGTCAAAGCTATCCCTGTAACAGGCCATGGAGGTCCAGATGGTAGTGAGATATCGAGGCTCCCGCATTTTCTAGACAATCGGCTTACAGATGGCGTTGAGGTTGTCACCCTTACCACCAGGAAGATTCCTGGTACTCATTTCTGTTAGAGGCTGAGTCGATTCCAGGACCACATTGTGGCTGGAAGGTTTAGGTCAATTGAAAAATCCAGTAACCTCTTCGGAAATTGAACCCGCTACCTTCTGGTTTGTAACTTAGTGACTCAATCAACTACCCTACCGCTTGCCCCTTATGAATCGCTTGCGTCGGTGAAATGTTTCGTGGCTTTCCTCAGACCTTCTCATCATTCTGACATCGTCATTCAGTGAGCAGGTCAATGTGTAGACTGCAGGTCAGCCACTAGGGATGCTTTGTTAATTCACCAAGGGATGTAGTGTAGTCCGACTTACTCGTGAAGAAAATCTTGCAGTTGTAAAATACACTTCAAGTTTGCAGCCTCTCCGCTCCGTTGCGGTAAAGAACGATCTTTGTATCTATGCACTGTACACGAACCCCGGCCCCCGGCGATGATGACTTATTTACAGCCCTCCCGCTGCACCATAAATATAATCATTCCTTATTCATGATGCTGCGAGATGGGGTAGACGCTATCAAGGGGAGCACAGAAGGGGATGTTTATTTAGTTTAAAACCAACCCCCACCGGCCTGATGATGCTCCGGCTTCCTTCTCGACTTTAATATCGATTGTTGCTCTCGATACGATTCTCAAACACACGTTCAATTGTTTTATCGCTGAGGTACGAGCGACGTAAGATCGCTGTGCCGTGTTTTTCTGGTATTAGCGCCCCCCGCAGTTCCGCGCGGCATCCAGGAATTACGTTTATTTTTTAAAAAGGAACGAAGTAGCCCTAATCCCGGTAATTACTATAACAAATCGGGTTTTAATTCTTGTGCATTAGCCCGCCGCACCGCGCTAATGAGCTTACGGGGAAGGTGTTGGCACCTGGGCAAGGGGTGTGCCACTTTCCGTATTACCTTGGTTTTCCTCAGTCCCGTGATCTGACTGTGTGCTAAATTGTACCAAGCAATAAACCAGCAGAAACAGGCGGCAACACGTCGGGCTGCGTTCGAATTATTTAATATCCACAGTCACCGCTGTGAGTCGTCTCAAATCTAACATGGCTGCAAGATGTTCCACTTTTCGTATAACTGTGTGTACAGTCCGTGGTGTTCCTCAGTCCCGCCACCTAATTATGCCGAACACACTGGTCGAGAGATAATGCTGTAGGCTTGTATCAGAGAGGTGCTTGGTTCGAATCTCGCCTGGGACTCCGACTGTCCTGACCGAAGTCTTCCGTGGTTTTCTTCAGACCCTCCAGAAAATGCTAGGCTACGATTGGGGAACGGCCGCTTCCTTTCAAATCTTTTCCATTTTATCATTTATCGTTCCGTCAGTTGACGCTACATAACCTCAATATTGAAAATTGCATTAAATAACTCGCCCAAGTCATTTGACTGGAAGGTCTTTCAGTTCTCGTGTCACTGTGTACATCCACGTGTTTCCTCAGTCACACTGTCTGGCTAGCAAGTGGTTTGCCTGCGTGCGAATGCGGTTTCTTTTCAGTCCGTTTACCTGGCTATGAGG